CAGTGCCACACCGCTGAGGTCTCGCTCGTCACCACACTTGCCCGGGTGCTAGACACGGAGGCACAGAACATCCTGTGTGCCCCACTGGGTTTCGGGCTTGCTTTGGTCTAATTCCTTTCTCTCCTCCCCTTCTCTCCTTTCACAATACACTGTTTACCTTCTGCCAATCCTCAGTGGAAGTAGGAGACTTTGTGTTCGAATTTATAGGGGCTCACAATTAAGAATTTGCCCTGAGTCTCGGAGAAGACTTGCACTTGGACTTTTCACCTTGCAGAACTTTTAAGACTTTGTGGCCTGTTGGACACGAGCTGCGTGCATGTTCACGTTGAGATGGCAATGTGTTCTTGAGGGCCAGGGTCAGAGGTTGCTTTATATCCAAAGTGCTCCCCAAAGATCTGCTATGCTGGGTGGGTGAGCGGATCCTGAGGGCACTGTGCTGCGCGGCGAGCGCATCCCCAGCTGGGTGTGCGGCCCAGAGCTGCCTCGCTGGCATTGGCTCACTGCGGTGATGCCTTCTCACCCCTTCCCGTCTCTGCTTCCTGGCTGCTACAGGACAGGCCGCTCCTCTCTGGCCCTCTTGTTCCACCATGACATTTCTGCCCTGAGTCCGCCACCCATGGGCTGAAATTCCAAGCCGAATAACCTTGTCCTCCTGTCAGTTACAGGAGTCTGCTATTTGTCGCGGGGGCAAGTGGGAGTAACACAGGCTGAGCCAGGATGAGGCTGATTTTATTCAAGTCTCGAGCTCACAGAAAACAGTCACAAGTAGAAATGTTTTCTTTCTCTGCTCTGGTGAACGGCTGTCGGTGGAGAAAGGCTTCACGCCACATGCCTCTGACGGCTGCCCGCCCTTCCTCCAGTTGCTTCATCTGTGGCGAGGGTGCCGAGGCCCATGTTTCCTTTTATGTTTAGTCAAAGTATCAACTCATTGCCAAGTTCCTTGGTGTTGGCTTGAATTTGAAATTCTCCTGCCTCTGCCTCCTAGAGTGCTGGGATTAAAGGCAAGTAGATTCATGCCCGGTTCTCTTCCAGGATTCCCCCGACTCAGAGGACCACTGTGATCAGCTGCCTTGTCAGTCTCCAGATCCCTTCCGTTCCTTGGTGATGTCTCACTAAGGAATGTGCTGTGTCCAGTCACTGGGTGAAGCTCGCAGTGTTCACTATGTTTTGTGTCATGGCCATAGTTTGAAGATAAAAGTTAAATGTCCAGATATGAGGTGGGGGAGAACAGGTACATCTCATGTGACCAACTTTCCATTCCCATCACTTGATAGCCGGTGCTCTTTCTGGAGCTGTAGTTTTGATTACACCTTATAAAGACTCATGAGAGAGGACCTCCAGAGGGCTTCCGAGAGTGATGTGGACAAGGAGGGGCCCATAATCAAAGTGAGCGGGAGGTCCTGAGTGGGACACACCGCAGTGTGCCTTGGATTTCAAGAATTCATTTAATAACATGCTGCATGCTTCGTTCATACAACACCAAGGAACAGAAGGTATCTGGAGACTGACAAGGCAGCTGATCAAAGTGCTCCCATGAGGGTGAAAACCTGAAGGAGACTCGGGCACGAAGCCATTTGCCTTTAATCTCAGCACTCTAGGAGGCAGAGGCAGGAGAATTCCAAATTCAAGCCAACACCAAGGAACTTGGCAATGAGTCGATACTTGAACAGTCAGGACTTCCTCATTTATTAATGTCACTTTCCCCTGTATGGTATCAGAAGGTAATTTTCAAGAAACAGAGAAACACTGCTCATATAGGTATAAAGCTGAATATGTGTTGAGGAACCTGCATGTGGCATCACCCTCTATACCTTAGAAATCCTCGTCAGTGTAGTGGGACCTGTGAGTGGCTCTAACCATAGAGTTAGATGGCGTGGTGGGGGGATCTCACCCCACTGAGAGACATTCCACAGAACGTACAAGGGTGTCTTGCCGATATAATTAATTTTCTAGGGTTCATTGATTTCGAATTAATTTAAAAGACTATATTTAATGGCTCTGACCTAAGGAGGTGAAAGCCCAGAACAGACCCAGGCTTTCTTGGAGATCAGAATCCTGTTCCTCCTGTTTTGAAGAAGGCCACAAACTCTACAGCTGAGCTGGCCCTGCAGAGACGGAGTGCTAACCCAGGGAAACTGAAGAACAACAGAGGTACGAGAGGTTGTGACCCTTCCAGTTGTGGTGATTCACTTCACCTCATTGGGCAGTGTTATTTCCTTTGAAGAGGCAAAATACCTGATGTCCAAAGTTAAGGGAGGAAAGGCTTGTGTAGATCTCAGTCCATGGTGGGCTGGCTCCCAGGAGGTGGCTTGGCACAGGGCATCCCAGAGGACATTCCATGGCACTCACAAGGAGGCGAAAGCAAGAAAGGGGCACAGGCCGCTT